CACAACGGATTGGTGTTGCAACTAATTAAACACGGGATAGGCAAAGATATAGAGAACTAAAAATAAAATCAACTACTACGTATTATACATCAACTGATCAACACTTCAAATATAGACCAAAAAATGAATATTTGTTTGTCTGTTCCAACTTCCAATTAGAACCAAAACTGCATATATAATGCAATATGGTACCCAAAAGTACAAGTTTTAACAGTAGAAGGCGGCACTATACTCGAGTATTACACTTACATACATACAACAGATACGCTTTGATCTTAAAACCAGTATAAACTATAGAATAAACAAAATTATGTCACTACTAATGCATAGGGGCAGCAAATGGGGTGGATTTGGTGTTCCTAAATGGCTTTTGAATGAATATGGTAAAATAATTAAAAACCCGAAACGGGTTTGGGGTGGGGCAGATTTAATGATGAACTCGCCCCGACTCCGCCTTAATTATATATGTACCTTTTAATTTATAGCCCTGACTCTGCCCCGATTATATATGCACCTTTTAATTTTTATATATATATATATATATATATATATTTAAGACTCTTGTTACTTTGCTGAAAGTGTCCGTTAAGATATTAATATTTATTATTTAGTAATTTAAAAGTTGGTTCAACATATTTATCAGCCTAATTTAAACACATTAGGCTAGTTTTTTTTATTTTATTTTTATTATTATTTTTTTTATTTACATAATAATAAAAGTGGTATAACCCGATTTGCCCCTATTGCGCCCCGCAATTAAATGGAGTAAATGGGGTGGAATTAATACTTTGTCTACCGTAGTAAAGGCGGAGATGGTATAACACTTACAAACCCGTTTCGGAGTAGGTGTAAAGTTAGTATGACAAATTTTCTATCAAGGCGGAGTAGGGTTTAGCCTAACCTGTCCCAACTCCACCCCGTTGTCATCTCTACTAATGCAATAAAAGTGGCAGAGATTTCTAGGAAGAGATTGGGGGAGCCATCAATCCTTTGCAAATCCAGAACATAAAGATTTCCACTGGCTTTGTAAAGCTATTCACATGATAAACACATAGTATTCATCAGTAAAGCTATTCACATGATAAACACATAGTATTCATTAACAATTGTAATGACTGATGCAAATACAAATCTTCTCAACTATTCTTGAATAATTTTGAATAATTGCAACTTTTTGTAACTTTTTTGAGAAATCTCGATATATGTTGATTCAATAATTGCACTTGTATTAAAATATGATTATGGTTTCAGATTTTTTTTTTAGGAGTCGGTGAAAGTAGCAATATCCTTGATAATTTCGAAAAAAAACAATAATGTGCTTTGTTTGTTCCAACTCCACTTGAAAAACTCTATGGGTTTTTCCCCTAGTCTTTTATCTAAAACATAAAATAAATAATTAAATCAATGAGCATGCCAGGAGAAATTACCAATTACTTGCTGATATTAAATTACCTGAATTTTCAAAAGTTAAATCCACTACACTAATGATGGTATTCTGTATTAAATTACTTGAATTTTCAAAAGTTAAATCCACTGCATCAACTAATGATGGTATCTGTAATTTTCTGCCAGCACATTACTTGAATTTTCCATAGGGGAGATTCGAGGTATGTTTTTTGTTCCGCTCTTTCTCTGACTTTCATGATTATAATTTCCCTTAGAAGACAATTTGGCGCTCCAAAGCTTCCCTTAGAATGGCCTTTTTTGTCTGGATTGCTGTTTGGGGAAATTTTTTTGACTCTAGATAATTGCAAGAGGAATGGTGAGTCCGTGGACCACCTGCTTTTGGATTGTCCGGTAGCCCATAACTGCTCGAGCCTTATTTTTGGACTACTTGACGTCCAATGGGTTATGTCTCGGTCTTCGAGGGATTTGAATGACGCTTGGAGAGGTTGCAGTGTCGGGGCCACACCCGTGAGTGTTGGAGGGTGGTTCTCTTTGTGTTTGGTGGTACTTATGGAAGGAGCGGAACAAAAGATCTTTGATTGGGATGAATCTCCCTTGGGGGCTTTGAAGTTTCATATTATTAGCTCGATCTCTTTTTAATTGGGTTTTGGAGAAAAATTGTATATCTATTGAGGAGTTTATTGATTTTTTTAGGTTCGATGGGTCCTTAGGACCTTGTCTCTGACTTCGGCCTTTGTATAGTTATGAAATGTGTTTCCCTTTTCAACGCTTTCTAATACATTCTCACTTATAAAATAAAAAAAATAAAATAAAATAAGAGAATTATTAAAACAATTATTACAATAGAGGGTGAAAATGTCAAACCCTCTGTTAAAAGAATGTATTGTTAAAATTGATTAAAAGAAAGTGTTTTTTATACTCTCTCCGTTTTTATTTAAGTGTCGGTTTTGGGGAGTAGTAATTTTTAATGGGACATGCATTGTCTCCCTTGAAAAGGGTGTAGTGCAAAAACTACCCATGTAGTTTTAAAAGTGTGCAAATAATACCCCTCGTGTTCAAAACTTCAAATTTCACCCTATAGTATGTAAAGTGAACAAATAAGGACTTCTGACATTAAAAAATAACATGTGCAGGTCGTGTGACCAAAAAATCCTCTTTAATACCAATTCTACCCTTTTGCACTTCCCAAATTATCCCACTCATTTCTCTCTCATTTTTATATCTAATATATACAATACCTTTATTTCTATATTTCTCTCTATATAAATACACCATCTACATTTAATATTTAATATGTTCTCTCTCTCCTCTCTAACAGCTCTTTCTCTCTCTATATAATTTCTATTTAAAAAATTTTGTTCTTATTTAATCTCTCTCCCAAAGGTTTTTTCTCTCTATATAATGGGTGTTTCTATTAAAAATAAAATAAAATAAAATAAAAACCAAAAAAAAAAAAACAAATTCTATTATTTCTCTCTCTATATTTATCAGACCCATCAGCATTGCCAATGTCAATTATTCATCTTCTCTTTCAAAGTTAATAGACCTCACTATTACTCTTCGGATGGTGTCCAGCCAACTGAAAAACTTGTGCCTCAGTAATTCTTTCCATGCCAAAAAGAGAAGGGAAAGAGAGGGACCCATTTGTGATTACAGAGTACTAAAACCTATTCAACAACAATAAATAATTAATTTTGTCAAAGCTTTCAAGAGATTAAAGTGAAGGACAATTCTATGTGTTCGGAGGTAATAAAATAAGATGAACTTTCTGAGCAACCAAACATAAGCAAAATCCAAATCAAATTAAACAAACTGAGATCAGATGATGATGGGGGAAGAAACAGTCCTCCAACAAGAGTTCGCTTCCACTGGAGAGGTACGTAACAACGAGGATCATCAAGTAACATAGACGATGATGAGGAAGAGACTGTCGAGTGTTGCGGTGGTGGTGCAGGGCATGAAACTGTATGTCTAATCGCAAGACTCTTCAGCGAAGAAACGATCGAGCCGAAGAAGTTGCGAACCTCGCAAATCATCGTGGACACCGTCGGAGGTGAGACCTGAGGATGGACGAGCGATGATGAATCGACCGTAGGAGAGGTTGCGGAGGAAGAGAGGAAAAGATTTAAGAGGAAAAGAGTTGAGAGGAAGATGAAAGATGGCATGTGAGCCATGTTTGTTAATTTGTTGTTTCAGAGATGTACCCGATGAAAGTGAAGAGATATTTGTTTCTAGTATGTCCATTTATGTAATTTCAACTTCTAAGTATTTTTTATTATATTTTTTATTAATAAAATTGAGGGTATTTTTGTCTTTTCATCCCTCATGTATTTTTAACAAATTTATTTTTAACAAATTTGAACACAAGGGGAGTTATTTGCACACTATTAAAATTATAGGGGAGTTTTTTGTACTTTACCCCGTAAAAAGTTACTACTAACTTTTCATTTTATGTTTTCAATATTTAAGTTTGAAATTTTAAACTCTATATAAAAAGATGTGAAATACTTTATTTCAAAACAAAAGTGAGACAATTCTTTTGTACCAGACCAAAAAAGAAAACTTGACACTGTATTTATTATTATTACACTGTATTTATTATTATTACTCCGTATTATTTTACCGGTGGTGCGGGTATTTTTTATTTTTAAATTTAGGGTAAAGTACATTGACACCCCCTGATGTTTGCCAAAAGGACACCCAGATGAAACTTATTCAATTTTTGGACAATGACACCCCCTTGTTAAATTTGACAGCCAAACATAGCCTAAAAATGTGTGAAAGGTCTATTTTGCCCTACATCATTTGATTAATTTTAATAACAAAATATCAAAAACAGTTAAATTACCTAATTGCCCTTCTCCTTTCTCTCTCTATACACCGATATATACACATATACCCATCTGTGCAAATATATATATATATATATATATATATATATATATATATTACTCCTTCCTGTAATTGCCCTTCCTCTCTCTCTCTCTATACTCCGGCAGTGAAATCGTTCGGTGAAGGATGAGTACGGTGGTGGCGAGACAACATCTGCATTCTCTTGCCGCCCCAACACCAGCCGCCCCTTCACCCTTCCGATTCTTTATATACACATATATGTATATACAAACACTATATACAAACACAAGGAGGCGGCGGCAGCTACGGCGGGATGAATCGCACCAGTGAATCAGATCTGATGATGAACAAGAGGCCTTCGATTTGGTTGGGTCGATTTCGTCTTCCATTTCGGCGATGGCGAAATCGACCAAACGGAGAAGTGTCTTCTTTTCTTTTCCTTTCTTTCCTTTGTTAAAAATTATTCCATCCCCAAACCTTTTCCATATAAGGTTATTGAGTGTCACTTTTTTGCTGTGTTGTGAAATCGCCTTAAGGTTGTAGCTGCAGTTTCAGCCTATCTCGTCCTCTTTCTATTTTTTTATTTTTTAATGTTTTTGTTGGACAAAATGCATGATTAATTTAATCTTCTTTGATTTTCCTCTTTGTTTTTCCATTTGGATTATTTTAGTGAGGCTTTTACAGTAATTTATATTCATTCCCGTCGCTCTTTCTTCGATTTGGTTTGGTAGATTTTGGCAATGAAGAAGAGAGATGAAGGCACCCAGCAATTCCACCGTCGGCTAACTGGAGCTCAAAGCAGTGGATCTGTTGGTGTTGTGTTTGAGGTCGTCGTTGGCCAATCGGAGCATCTCGGAGTAACAATCCGATCTATCCTTTGTAATTATTTGTGAAGAGGAGGGAGAGAGAAGGGTGAGGTGAAGGATAACGACTTTCTATCAGAGTAACCCACACGGACCGGCAACCACAAACTGTAAGGCTTTGGAGGGGTTTCACATTGTGACTGTGTGGGGATTTCTATGGCTTTGATGCTATGTGGGTTTGTTACGTCTTGATTGGGTTTAGTCCGAATTGTTGAAGCCCTTTGTTACTTTCTCTCTTTTTCTCTCAATCTGGTTTGAATGTGTGTGTCTATATAGAGAAAGAGAGAGAGAAAAAGAAAAAATGGAAGGATGAAGAAGCGGCCGGAGGAGGAAGAGAGAGAGGAGAGAAGGAAATAATGGGTTTATAGAGGAGGCTAGATAAATAATTTCAATATTGAAATTGGTCAATATAAAAGTCAAAGGGCAAAAATGTAAATTTATTATCATTGGGGTGTCTTTGGTATAAGTATCAAACTTAAGGGGGTGTCATTGTCCAAAAATAGGGTAAGTTTCATATGTGTGTCCTTTTGGCAAATCTCAGGAGGTGTTAGTGTACTTTACCCTTAAATTTACAATACTCGTTTAGCTCTGGGCTCAATTGACCCGTCAAAGTTGCACCACTACAAATACCACAACCCCCCTAGCGTCTTTCCAAAGAAGAAAAATAAAAAATTTACTTCGAACCCTTCGTCGAGAGTGTATCAATGGTTTTTTCTTCACGATCTCACCCTTGCATCCGATGATTCTTCCGATCTGACACACAACAACAACAACAGCCAGTGGCATCATCTGCCTCTTGTGAGGCAGCCTCAGAGAACGAAGCTTCACCACCACCAGCGGAGGCAGCGGCGGCTGCTGAAGCAACGGCGGAGGGGAAATGGCCCGGGTTACTGAGAAACAATGTGTTCAGGTTGATCGTTCAGGTTCTCAAGGGCGGAAGAATCATCGGATGCAAGGGTGAGATCGTGAGGAAGATGTGCGAAGACACTGGCGCTCGCATTAGCGTCCTCAGAGGCCCTATCCGCATCACTGATCGTATCGTCAGTATTCTCGCTCAATTATTTATTCTTCGCTCTCAATTTTAACTTGCATCTATCTGTATTTTATTTTACCTGTTCTAGGGTTTGCGAATATAGATATATATATATGTATGTATATATATGCATATAACCTAATATGAAACTGATTATACTTTTATTTATTTTTAAATCTTGGCTTCTAGACATGCTATTACCTTTGAGATTGCATGCTGCTTATTGATTACTTTATGCAGTAATTTTAACTTCGTAATGCGTGGAGTGCATGTTGTTTATTTAAGTGAAAGACAAATATACTTTGTTCTTAGAAAATATGTAATTCCCAGGTTTCTCCTGAAGTCTCTTGAACTTGGAACTGCTTATATACCCTGCTATACCGACAACTGAAATTATTAACAGAAATCTTGGCAGAAGATGTATGACGCCTTATCCTTCTTAGTGTTGGAGGATTGTAGTTGGTTGTGCTTTAATTTTTTTGAGGTTTCTACTTTCTTTCCCGCTGGATGTGAAATTTTGAACTTTTTGGCTTGGGTTTGAAAACCTTTTTCGGCATTTACAATCACTTCACTGGTATGTTGTGACTGAAAAGGAACTCTATAGTAGAGGCATGCTAATAGAAAGTGAATTTGGCTATATGGCCAGTGAGGAAATTGGCAAAGTCTGGTTATTGATGCCTTCTCTTTCTCTTAGTGACTGCACATGTTATATAGATACTGGATTGCAGTTCATATGCACTCATTACTATGTTTGATGCTGCTAAGTGTTTGCTTTGCGGCTTGCACCAAATATCCCATCTTGATGCATGTACTTGTCACTTATGCCATCTGTCCTCCTCCACTGTATTGAAGTTGCACATTGCTTGGGAAAGAAACGGCTTTCTGTTCCTTGCCCATGTCTTAAATATTTGGAATAGCAAGCATGAGGACACAACTTTGTGCAAAATAATAACAAAGGTTAGGTTTGACTCCTCTTCCAACACCCTGCATGGATGTTTTATAATGCAAAATGTAATTCTTCCTTGTATAGGACTTCATAAATAATGTATATAATGGTAGAGTTTTAATATTCAACAATTTCCTATTTCCTACCACCTTTACTTTTGGTATTACCCGATATAGGCAATGGTTATAATTAATTCAACAAGTTATCCCTTATATGTGTGTATAGAAAATAGTATAATTGTTAGTTTTTTTTTTTTTTTTTTTTTTTTTTTTTTTTTTTTTTTTTTTTTTTTTCATGAAAGATTAAAATTATTAGTTATCTATAGGATTTTTTTATTTTATTTTTATATATAATACAGATTTGGATTTTTATTTTTTATATAAGTTAGTTGTTTTATTGATTAAATCCCAAAAAGACATTTCTCACGCCAAAAGTTATAGTTTCCAAAAGGCACATCCTATCTCTATGTTTGCAAAGTATATTCTTGTTTTTATTTCTTAAAAACCACAAGGCGCATCATTTCTCTATGCATGCAAAGTATATTCTGTATTTAAAATACACAAAGTGTCTATTGTTTAATTCTCAAAAGACATGACTCACAATATTAATTTGAGTTTTTAAAAATGACATAATTTCTCTACATACAAGTCCATTCTATATTGAAGAAACAACAGAGACGTTATATTGGTTAATTTCCAAAGAAATGGCTCATCACAAAAGTTTCCGACTTTCCAAAGGTGATAATACTTTTTATTTTTTCTCATTCCGTTCTATATTAAAAACATTAAAATTGTTAAAATACCCTACCTACAGATATCCCACTAGCTAATGCGGGTATAAAAACAGCAGTCAACTTTTGAATTTGTTGTCTTCTTTACTCATTAGGTAATTTCCTTCCTTTCTTACTTTTTTCCCCAGCTATATATACATATATACGTAAATATATATATTTTATTTATACATCCATATGGGATTAAGGCAAGGATGTTGAGAATGATATATCTTATTTTATTTTATTGGATTTTTCTTCTAGTATTTACTTAACAAATTGTTGTGAATCTCCTTAAGTGCTATATTTCCCTTTATAACAGAGATTTGTAAAACGTGTGATGCATGTATTTTTACTAACCTATATAAATATCACTAAAAGGAATAGAAGAGTTATAATTTGCCCAATCAAGGGAAATACTCTAATCAGGTTGAACCAGCTTATACAAAAGAATGCATTGAAACATAAAGAAACTGTTAACCATCTCCTTTTGCATTGTCACATGGTCAAGGACTTTTGGGACATGATGTTAGGTTTGTTTGGAGTCTAGTGGGTGATGCCCAGGACTTCCAGAGACTTTGTTGAGGCTTGGATAGGGTGTACAGTGGGGGCCCAAGTACGGAATGTTTTGAGGACTACGCCTTTGTGCGTCTGGTGGTGTTTATAGCTTGAAAGTAACAGTGGGTCTTTTGAAGGATAGGAGACACCTATTCTTGTGCTTAACTTCTCCATTATTACCACTCTTTTTTGTTAGGTTGTAGGGAGATATTATAGATCTTTAGATGAGATAGTTGATTTTTTGGGCTCTTTGAGAGAATAGAAGTCCTATTTGGCCTTGTGTAGTTCTTGTGGGATGCGGTCCCCTTTTGTTTGCTTTTTATATACATTCTTATCAAAAAAAAGAAAAAGAAATCATTAGTTCTTATTAGATTCTTTAACACCTGCTACAAGGATTTAACAGTTGCCGGACATCGAAATGGTAACCTACCCCAATTAGCTTGTTAATATCATATTAGAAAAAGTGAAACACTCAATTCGATAAAATCTAAAATCTAATAAATTTTTTATTGGTAGGGTGCAACTTTTATTTTCTACCGTCTCATATTACGGTTATAGGTGTTATTGCTTGGTACAGTGGTAAAAGTTGAGGCTGTCTAGCATGAGAACACGGGTTCAAATTCTTGTAGCAACCACTTTGGAAAGTAATGCCAAAGGTTACGTTAGTATCTAGTCTATCCCTCCCAACGCCTTGATTTATATGGAGTATGGAACACATTGGGTAGTAACCCTATAACCTCAAAATTTGGTCAATATTATACTCATAGGACTAGTCTTTCCACGACGGATCTATTACGATATTAGTTATTTTATCAGAGATTTTTGTGACAAATGTGGTCAAAAAGAACCGAGGGGCATATTTGTTCATTTTGCATATCCAACTGGAATCAACACAAGCTAGTTCCTAAGGTTTTTTATGCTGTACCAGATGTTCTTAGTAGTTGTCCTTGTAAAAGGACTCACGAATTATCAAGTCATGCTAGGTGTGCATCAAGATTCTGGAAAATAACTAGGGTATTGTGAGTGTAGTTTTTATATTATATTATAAGAATCTAAAATTTTAGCAAAATTGATATGGGGATGGGTTGTTATGCTTATAGATATCTATGGTAGGTGCTCTTCCTTTTTGAGATTGATATTCATTCATGAAATTAAAATAAATATGGAATTTTGCTTCTGCGCATTTGTTTGACTAGTGTTCCAACTCTTTGATGGCCAAAATTTGTTGGGATCATCTTACATGTTTCTTTTCAGGTCCTGATATCAGGAAAAGCAGATGCACAACTATCTCCTGCAATGGATGCTGCCCTAAGGGTTATTAAGTGTGTTGCTGACCTATCTTCTTGTGAGGGTGATAGTAAGGGTTTGGCAGCTGCTGTAGCTGCATTTTGTTGTGTAAGGTTACTAGTAGCATCTTCAGAAGCAATTCACTTACTTGGGAAGCGAGGATCTATAATTAAATCAATACAGGAAAGATCCGGTGCTTCAATATGTGTTTTATGAGTAAAAGGTGACCTTTTATGTACTTGGCTTTTTTGTTCATTTCTGTTAAAATTGCCACATCTTACATTTTCTGGAACATTTCTGTTAGAATTGTCACATCTTGCAACTTCAATAATGCTGTGGTCCTGGGTGTCCTCAAAATGTTTTTAATACCAGTTATGGTTACATTCAGGTCATGCTATGTTATTTTGGTCACTATATTTCCAAAAACATGTACATTTTTCCTTTATTTTTTCTTTTTCATTTTTTCAGAAATGTCCTCTCTCCTTAAACAAAATGATGTAAGCTGTGTATTATATATGATTGTAAATACTTCCTGACTAAAACATTTTACCAGGACTTAAATACAAAATTTCATTTTTACACTTGTGCCTCTAGTACTAGATTGCGGAATACGAAAATGGATTCTCAAATTTTAAATTACCGTTCAAGCATGATGTTATTATGATTTATACAAGGGACTGGGAATTATTCTGCTTTATCTTATTATTATTTTTTCAAGAACTAATATACTGAATACTTCACCCAGTGTATTTTCTTCACTGATCTGTTCACATTTCAGTTCCAAGCGCAATATATGATGCTTGTCTTTCTTTGCTAGATGAAGTGCCCTCATATGCTTCTTCAGATGAGAGAATTGTAGAGATACAGGGTGATTCTTTAAATGCCCTTAAAGCACTAGAAGCAGTGTTGGGAATTCTAAGGAAGTTTTTGGTTGATCATAGTGCTGTACATGAAAATTTTGCATTGATGTTTTTTTGAATTTTACTAATACATAGTTATTGTCAGTACAATGCAACAATTTCACAAGATCTTGCAGCAGAGACCTGGGCAAACCCATTCCTCGCTCCATCCTGCTCCTGGTCCTCAAGTGGGTCACGCTCAGCTGGATTCAAATATCCCACTCTCTCCTCTATTACTTTATGGACAGGATCCCGGGTTTGACAGATTACAGTCTTCTGGACTTGGTCGCACCGCTGCTCCTAAAGAAATCCAGGTCGGTTTACATGTCATTTTATTTGTTTAAATATGGTATGAATTTCTTTTTTCATTTTAAGGAAGAGAATTGCTATTCATACTGTTCCATAGACATGCATTCTAATGGTATCATTGTTGTTGTGGCAGAGGAAAGCTTAACAACAAAGACAACTTAGGTCATGAGCTGCCTCATTACCCTAGACACATGCAATCAATGGTTCATGATTCCTATTACCCTCCATCATGACCCTTATTTCCCTAGGTCACATTTTGGATTTGGTCATGGCTACCAAGGAATGTCTACACCTAGAGTAACAAATTACTGGCCTAGAAACAATGGGTATCAATTGCCTGGATGGACATTGTTTGATGCTAGTCCTAGCTTGGGTGTGTCTGCAGCTAAGTCACACAATCTTTCTCAACAGGTGTTTGCTCTTGCTCTCACTCTCACGTTCCGTACGCGGTCTCGCTCAAATTCTCACTACTTATAACTTAATTCTGCTACTAGCACGCTCCCGCACTCGAATTCGTTCTCGCTCCCACTCTCGCTTTATGTGACTTAGGTCTAGAGGTTTATCATCTTTTCAAAATCTGGAATTTGCAGCCAATGGGGCTTGAGTTGGTGCAAGTCATGATTAGAAGGTGCAGCACGGAGATCACACAGGGCTTGAGTTATCACTCAACCTTTGATCAAAATTAATCTTCTTCTCTCTTTTTTTTTTTTTTTTTTCATATATAATTTTTTGGGTAAGTAAATGTGTTGTCTGTCTCATTGTTGGTAATTGTCCTAGATATCATTTTGTTTGTGTTTGTAAATTGTTGTTCCTTGTCCTAGGATTAATTTCATGATATGCTCTTGGATTGTGTCTGTTGCTAGTGACTGAAATCATGCATTGTGCGAATTTCCTTAGAATATATATTTATCATTTATTTGTCAATGAAATTTACCTTAGTGTTACAGAAATTTTATCTTATTTATATACTAAACATCAGGTTTTTTCCAATGCTCAATGTGGGGAAAGAAAAAAAAAAAAATTGCTAAAAGGGTTTGGAGTGATTTGGTTTAAACCAATTTCTATGTGGAGATTTGAACATTCGATGCACAAATTTCAATCAATCTTCAGTGCTCCATCCTATTCAGTCATGTTTGGTGAACTCGATCATTAGAGAAATTATGTCTTTTCATAGGGATTCTTTTTAAATTTTTTATTTTATTTGTAAGAACATAAATGAAATCGTGGTTAAAGGTATGTTTTGGTAACGTGAAACATGACAAAAGGTGTTTTTTTCATTTCTTGTAAAAAAAATTTTGTAGCAAAATCTAACATCGGGACAAAATTGAAAATTTTCACCTCTCCATTTTGAGATTTTTTTGTCGGTAAGAGAGGGTGTTCCCTTACCGAAAGGGTTGGGCAATTTGCACCGTCAATTATTTTCAAATCGTGCAAGGATAAGATTGTTCGATTCATTGTGACCTAAAGGTCGTGGGTTTAAAATAAGAAAATAATTTTTTCACATGCAAAAGTAAAATTGGTTGCGTACATTCAACCCAAATTTATCCTTTAATCATGTCAGAACAAGAGGTTGACATATAAGAAAATTTAATAGGGTATCATAAATATATAGTGCTAGTGTTTACATTAATTGAGTTGTTGTATGTTCTTTCTATAATAACTTAATATTACTGAATAACAAATTGCTTTTTATGAACTATAAGAATGTCAATTTAATCCATCCTGTCTGTTCCTTTCCTATTGGGATGGATTTTGTGATTATCCTAATAGGATTGGTGGCGGATCTGAGAAAATAGTTTAAAACCTGCAAAGTCCGGAACCCGCCCCCAATTAATAATTAATATATAAATAAATATTATTTTATTAGCTATATTTTTTCTTTTTTCTTTATTTATTATAATAATTTTAAATTTTAGTAACATTTTTGTTATTAAGATTGTTAAATATTTGACTGTACTAAAAAAAATAGAAAAGTTTAAATGTTTTTTTTCTTAACATATATGTATAGCCAGGAGTGGAACCAAACCGAATTTGATTATTGTTGGTGTGATGGGTTTGGAAAATTGGTATGAACGTGGTTGATCTGGCCACCAAATGCAGACTTCCGATACATGTCACTGACTCACTCTTGGATCCGGATGGGGGAATTGATTAAAGCTAAATTTAATTCAAGACCCCTAATTTAATTCATTCGTTAATATTTAAATTTATGTCCTGTAAGATTATAGTAATTATAAACTCATTTATTTCTATTACATTTTATTGTTGTTGTAAATTTAACACCATAATTAATTCATTTTCTTTTATGAAATTGATATAATTATTTATAATTGCTTTCTCTGTTAAACTATTATATTAGAACATTACAGAATTAGTTCCTTTATCACCTTTTTCATTTAACGAAAAACTAAGAACAGAAACTTACTTTTCAAAAAAGTAACGGTGTCCCCTTATGCAAAGAAATTAATGGTGTAGCACTATTGGGGTATCTAACTTTGGCAAAATCTCATTTCCTCCTTTATTTTTTTTTTTATTTTTTTTATTTTTTATTTTAACAAAAACACTGGCAAAATCTCCATTCAACATGTTGAAAGTAATGATAATTGTATATTGAATTATGAAGAGTGTTTGCAGTTCTCCTTTTTACATTTATGGTTAAATTCGAAGTTTATAATATAAATAATAGAGATAATATCATGAGTAAAAACTTCATAATTTCCATGTGACACGATAAAGTGACAAGTGTCCCTTCAATATTCTTCCAGCTAAATACTTTCTTTTATTTATTTGAATAATGATCATAAGCCTATTTTAACGCAAATAATTAAGTCTCACCATCATCTAAAAAATTTAATCCAATTCAAAACTGATAATGTTAAGAGTAGGTGGTTTTCAGTGTTTGGTGTCTCGAATATCTCCTATTGAATATTCCCATTCATACTTCCATCATCGCATTATTTGTTGAAGTTTCTACTAATTGATTAGTAGGCCGTCAAGTATTGTCCATTTTTTTTTTTTTACATTATAGGGATAGTTATCAGTGTTATCACTTTGTTGCTGCGTCATATCGATGGAAAGCATGTCCTACTCACCGGTGAGTAGGCAAGTATTATCCCAAATAATATACAATAACATAACACAGCCACAACAAAAATTCATTACAAATTTCATGAAAAAAAAGAAAAAAAAAAAAGAAAATCTGTACACATTAAAAAACCAAAAAAAAAAAAACAGAAGTGCAAGTTTTAAGGGATCCTAGTGATAATCAAACATGAATCAAGATCAATTCATGTGAATTATAATGTACAGAAATTATCAAACACAACGGATTGGTGTTGCAACTAATTAAACACGGGATAGGCAAAGATATAGAGAACTAAAAATAAAATCAACTACTACGTATTATACATCAACTGATCAACACTTCAAATATAGACCAAAAAATGAATATTTGTTTGTCTGTTCCAACTTCCAATTAGAACCAAAACTGCATATATAATGCAATATGGTACCCAAAAGTACAAGTTTTAACAGTAGAAGGCGGCACTATACTCGAGTATTACACTTACATACATACAACAGATACGCTTTGATCTTAAAACCAGTATAAACTATAGAATAAACAAAATTATGTCACTACTAATGCATAGGGGCAGCAAATGGGGTGGATTTGGTGTTCCTAAATGGCTTTTGAATGAATATGGTAAAATAATTAAAAACCCGAAACGGGTTTGGGGTGGGGCAGATTTAATGATGAACTCGCCCCGACTCCGCCTTAATTATATATGTACCTTTTAATTTATAGCCCTGACTCTGCCCCGATTATATATGCACCTTTTAATTTATATATATATATATATATATATATATATATTTAAGACTCTTGTTACTTTGCTGAAAGTGTCCGTTAAGATATTAATATTTATTATTTAGTAATTTAAAAGTTGGTTCAACATATTTATCAGCCTAATTTAAACACATTAGGCTAGTTTTTTTTATTTTATTTTTATTATTATTTTTTTTATTTACATAATAATAAAAGTGGTATAACCCGATTTGCCCCTATTGCGCCCCGCAATTAAATGGAGTAAATGGGGTGGAATTAATACTTTGTCTACCGTAGTAAAGGCGGAGATGGTATAACACTTACAAACCCGTTTCGGAGTAGGTGTAAAGTTAGTATGACAAATTTTCTATCAAGGCGGAGTAGGGTTTAGCCTAACCTGTCCCAACTCCACCCCGTTGTCATCTCTACTAATGCAATAAAAGTGGCAGAGATTTCTAGGAAGAGATTGGGGGAGCCATCAATCCTTTGCAAATCCAGAACATAAAGATTTCCACTGGCTTTGTAAAGCTATTCACATGATAAACACATAGTATTCATCAGTAAAGCTATTCACATGATAAACACATAGTATTCATTAACAATTGTAATGACTGATGCAAATACAAATCTTCTCAACTATTCTTGAATAATTTTGAATAATTGCAACTTTTTGTAACTTTTTTGAGAAATCTCGATATATGTTGATTCAATAATTGCACTTGTATTAAAATATGATTATGGTTTCAGATTTTTTTTTTAGGAGTCGGTGAAAGTAGCAATATCCTTGATAATTTCGAAAAAAAACAATAATGTGCTTTGTTTGTTCCAACTCCACTTGAAAAACTCTATGGGTTTTTCCCCTAGTCTTTTATCTAAAACATAAAATAAATAATTAAATCAATGAGCATGCCAGGAGAAATTACCAATTACTTGCTGATATTAAATTACCTGAATTTTCAAAAGTTAAATCCACTACACTAATGATGGTATTCTGTATTAAATTACTTGAATTTTCAAAAGTTAAATCCACTGCATCAACTAATGATGGTATCTGTAATTTTCTGCCAGCACATTAGTAATTTTGTTATCTTGACAGATGAGTGACCAAGGACGGATGTAGGGTAGGCTTGAACCTACCAAAAAAAAAAAAAAAAAATTTACTATACTAATTTTTAATTCAGTCAGAAAAAAATTTATTAACAGAATTAGCCACCCAAGCCTAAGTCAACACAACCACCACACTAAAATAAAGGCCCAAACCAAGTAAACCAGGCCGGCCCTGACCCAAGGCGAAAAACGCTGTCGCCTAGGGCCTCAAAATATATAGGCCCATGGA